GATCTATGTATATAATGGAATACTATTGTGCTTTAACAAATGATGAGCAGGCAGACTTCAGAAAAACCTGGAAAAACTTATATGAACTGATGCTCAGTGAAGTGAGCAGAACCAGGAGAGCATTGTATACAGTAATAGCCATAATATGCGGTGACTGACTTTGATAGACTTATCTCTTCTTAGCAATGCAAGTATCTAAGGCAGCTCCAAAAGACTTATAATGGAACTATCCACATCCAGAAAAAGAACTGTGGAATCTGAATGCAGATGGAAGCATACTATTTGTTCTCCTTTTCTTTTGTTGTTGTTTTGTTTTATTTCTTCTTTCTCATGGTTCCTTCCATTAGTTCTAACTCTTCTATACATCATGACTAATGTCAAAATATTCTTAATATGAATATATAAGTAGAGCCTATATCAGATTACATGCTGTCTTGGGGAGGGGGGAGGAGAGAAAGGGGAGAAAATTTGGAACTCAAAATCTTATGGAAGTAAATGTTGAAAACTAAAAAGAAATTATTAAAAAAAAATAGAAAGAAAAAGTGGTACCACACAGGGGGAAAAAAAGAAATGCTGATGGATTTATGTGGGTTCCCATAGATAATTTTAAGGATGAGCAACTGCTTCCTCCTGAAATCATTTGTCTTGGCTTAGATTCTTATAATCTAGACAGTAGCTTACTAATGTTCAGAAAGAGTCTGCCCAATATGACGGATGTTCTAATAAACCTTGTCTTTGGCTGAAAGACAGACAAACAAACAAACATCTATCTTGCTCCTTTTTAGAAAGAGCTTCATTTACCTCCTAGCTTCACATTTTCAGTGTTCCAGTCATTCCTCCTCTCTGACATTTTTAGACAACTTCTTGTCATAGATCAGGATTTTGCTTTGCTTCAGATGTCTTTCTTTTCCTCTCTTTTTCTTTCCTTTTTTTCCTTCTTTTCTCACATTGAACATGGTCAAAGTCAGGGAGGCAGAATAGCATCATGTGTTGCAATATATTCATGTGAGGAAACCCCAAAACTAGAGGATAGAACCACTGTGGAACGCATTTGATGACGATCATTAGAGGCTGAGAAAAAATATTATCACATATTTTAATGTTAATGTTACCTTTATTTCTACATTTCATCTGTTTTCACCAAAATGCTCTATACTATGCTTGTTTTTTTATTAATGGGATAGTTAGTGAACATAAAGAAAAGGAAACAGTAATTGCAAAGAACCAGCATGGCATTTGATTTAAATGTTAATTAATAGATTTGTATGTTCCTTGACCCTGTGCTTTTTAACATATTTATAACTGACTTGGATAAATACAAAGATAGTATATGTAACAGGCCAGGCCTGACATAGGGCAGTTTGGTAATTAAAAGTTCAAGATTTGAATGGAATGCGACAGTTGTGGAATATTTAACAGGCAACATAAGAAGGTTTACTTAGCTATGGCATTGAAAGGATACTCAACGAGGAAGCAGCATTTGACTTAGGTAGACACCCTCAACATCACCCTCTACTCTTCATCTTTATACAGAAATGCATCTCATCAACAGTGCAGTATAGTGACCCAAGTGGTTATTAGATTAGGGAAATGAGGGGGAAATGGCCAAGGAGACACCAAAGGTCAATATTGAACTGCATTATCAGGGACATCGAAAGAATCTTACCTGAGGCAATATCCTCTATCACCTACAGGAATTGGCATTTTTTGAAGAGCCATAATCGAAAAAGAGGGCCAGTGGGCAAGCTTAACGAGGCAGTAACAACTCTTTAGAAGAGAACCCAAAATAGGTACCTCAGAAGTTGTAATCACATTAGGAATACAGAGAATAAAGAAGAACTGAAGAATATAGGGGCTGTTAATCAAATAATTAAAGTTAAAATGGGGGGGGGGAAGATAACGAAGAGTGAGGTTTAAGAAAATGCTTTCTAGGAAAGGGCCCAGAAAACAAACCAAAAAAAAATTTGAAGGGGAAGAGAAGAAGGGAAATTCTATTTGACTCTTTAACTGAAAGGGACAAAAGAGAAGGATCAAATGACCAAAGAAAAGGAAGAAAGACCTAATAAGCAGAACTCCAGAGGGAAGGAGGTAGTAACAAATGGGGATTGGAGAGTGGAGGATTGATTGTGAGGGGAAATAGAGCCAATGATAATAGGCTATAATAACTGAAAATGTGGTACTGTGGTTATAATAGAAGAGGGACAAAAATCCCAATATTAGAGACAAATGGAGGAAAATATAAATCTAAATCTCTTAACTTTGAGTGTGAATGGATTAAATAATCCAATGAAACAAAAAGGAGTGACAGATTGGATAAGAAAACAAAACCCCACAGGTATGGAGGGTGTGTGTGTATAAATATCATAAAAAGTACCCATTTAAAAACAAAAGCAAACATCATATATAATATGTAACAAACCCTTTTCCAGTAAATATAGAGGTAAAGCAAGGGTGCCCAGCCTCTCTACTCTTACTTGATTTGGTTCTGGAAATACTAGCAGCTGCAGTAAGACAAGAAAAACAAATTAAAAGCACGAACATGGTAAAACAAAGATAAAGCTATACCTATTTATTGTTGATATGATGACGTACTTACGGATGAGTAGTACTTCCAGACCTCAAACTGTGTTATAAAATAACAGTCATCAAAGTCATCTGACATTGTTTTAAAAAATAGATCAGTTGAACAGATGAGACAAGAGAATCAGGAACAGTGGAATTGAGTAAGTGTTTAATAAACTGGAAAACAAATTCCTTAAGAACGAATTCCCTATTTGATTTTTTAAAAAAATATTTCCTGGAAAACAGTCAGGCAGATATTAGGCTTAGACCAAAACGTTGCACCATATTACACAATATATTCTAAATGGATATGTAGCCTTAATATTAGAGATCATACTATTTTCAAAAGTTAGAAGAGAAGCAGATTCTGTTTACTCGCAGCTGTGGGTAGATGTATTCTTAACCAGATGAAGGAAAAGAGGCAATTACAAAAGATGAAACAAGTAATTTTGATTATATGAAACAAAAGTTTCTGCACAGGCATCTAGGATAAGAAAGGAGGCAATCAAACAAGAAAAAAATCTTCGCATAATTTCTTTTATAATGGCTTGATGTCAAAATACATAAAGTTACTAAATATATGTGACCAATAGCCATTTCCCATTAGATAAGTAGTCAAAGGTTTTCAAAATAAGAATGAAAAACTATTCACAACCACATGAAAGAATGCTCCAAATCACTAATAATGCAAATCAAAATAATCCTGTGAGATTCTGTTTCACGTCCTGCAGACTGAGTAAGATGACAAAAATGTCAATACTCAATTTTGAAGGGATTGTCAGAAGATAGGCATGCTGATGTCTTGTTGATGGAGCTATGAATTGGTACAACCACTTGTTGAAAAGTAATTATGGAATTATGTAAATAAAGTGACTAAGATGTTCATGCTCTTTGATGCAGAGATATCTTTACTAGACTTATTCTTCGAAGAGGCCATTGATAAGAATACCCCCATACATACCAAAATATTTATACCAACACTTTTTGTGATAGCAAAGAATTGGAGACAAATACCCATCAATTGAGGAAAGGCTAAACAAATTGTCATACACTAATGTAATGGAATATTACTGTGTTGTAAGAAATGATGAATGTGAAGACTATAGAGAAGCATGGAAAGATCTATATAAACTAATTCACAGTGAAGTGAGCAGAGCCAAAAAAACCACGTACATAATGACTACAGCAATATAAATGGAAAGAACAGCTCCCCCCTCAAAAAAAAATTCAGAAATGAATATTGTAAAATTATATAGACATTCCCAACCTTATATAGACATTCTTCCCTCTTGTCCCCACCCCCACTCTCTACCCTTCATTTTCCAGATGTGAGAAGTGTTGCTTGTTATACGTGTTTTTGGACTTTCTCAGTGTGTTGATGGGTTGCACTGATTTCTTTCCCCCTCCCCCTTTTTTTCGATCTTTAAAAAAATACCATTCTTTATATAGTATGGCTCTCTGGGGGGGGGGATACTGGGGAAAACTGTGATTATGTAAAATATATCAACAAATTCATTTTTATAAAAAATTAAAAAGAAGACATGATAAGTGTCTTCAAATATTTTGAGTGACTGTCACATGGAAAGAGAGGGATTAGATTAATTCTTCTTGGTCCCATGGGGTAGAAGTAGGAACAATGGGTGGAAGTTGCAGAAAGTCAATATTAGACTTGTAAGGAAAACCTTAACAATTGGAATTATTCAAAAGTAGAATGGGCTGCTTCCAGAGGTAGTAAATTTACTGTCACTGGAGACCTTCAGTCTGTCAAGATATGAGGCTTGTTCTTGTAGACATTGGTTTCAGTGGCCTTTAAAATTCATTCTGACTAAGAGTCTGTAAAAAATTTTACAGATGTTAATTTTTATATACTATGGCATTTGAGACTTTAAAAGAAATACTTTTTTTTTTAAAGACAGTATTAAAAATCATTTTACCGTTTGCTTCATATATGTATTTTATGTTCCTGGTCATACAGATTATTCACTAGTAGTCTAAATTCAGTCCACACTTGCCTTTTTCCCCTCTCTCCTTATAAAATATACATTTCCCCCCATTTCTTCTCCTCTTACTAATAACTATCCTTTAAGCCTCATTTCAAGTGGTTCCTCATCATTATTTCCTTTTATTTCTACCACCACCACTCCCCAAGCAGGAAGTTCTGTTTCTTCTGTGCCTACATGATTACACTTCATACTCTGTTTTGTATTTTATTTGTGTACCTGTGTCATCTACCCATCTACAATATTTGCATTTATGACAGTCTGTTTTATTCAGTATTCTGTTCCCATGTAGTTCTAAGCAAATTGCATTACACACAACCACACTCAGTAAGTGTTTGTTGAATTGAATCAAAGAATGGTAATAAGCTATGCACTTAAAATGTCTTACAGTATATGCCAAAATAAATAGCCATCAAAATATTAATATTTTATTTTCAGATGCTTTGCATGCATACTTTGGAATCTGTGGTCTGTCACTGATGGAGGAAAGTGGAATTTGCAAAGTTCATCCCGCCCTGAATATAAGCACACGGACTTCTGAACGCCTTCAGGATCTCCATCAGAGCTGGAAAACCAAGGACTCTAAACAGTGTTCAGAGAATATGTATATTTCCACGTGACTGATTTGGGTTTTATGGGAGGGGAATAGGGTCAATAATTGATAGCATAATATTAGACTAAGGCTAAAAGCCATGCATAACCAAGTGTGCTATTTTTTTTTAAAGGATAGAGTCATACAATCAATCTTATGCTGGTGTCACTTTGGAAATGTAGTCTTGAGCATAGCCCTTTGCACTGTGATTCAAGAGTGTTTCATTTGTGTTGAAGTTTGCCACTGTAGAATCTGATGCTTCTTCAAGTGGCTTATATTTCTTAGAAATCCCTTGAAGCAAATGAACTATATATGTATTTGTTAAATTTTTTTTAGAAGTTTTCAATACAAACCAGGTCAAAGTGCATTGATCAAAAAGTATCTTTAAAACAAGTTTACACTTCATTTAACACTGACAACCTTTCGGAGACTACTTAATGGCCTTTTGCAAACTTGATTTACCTGTAATATATAGATGGGTTTGGGGATAGATTAGTTTCTGGGAATTATTCTTTGAAAGCAGTTTCCAAATTTTTTTAAATGAAATATTCTGTCTTTTCCTTAAGTTGGTGTGCCATTTAAAATTATAGGTCCTACTTAAAGAAACTCAGTAATAATTTTGTACCAAGAGGAAGTAGGCTCATTAATTATAGTGAAAGCTTTTTTAAAAGATATTATTAAATAAAATAATGAAGTGTTTAATTGAACCACAGTAGAGTAAGAGGGTAATATAAATTGAACCATATGCAGCTGTGAGAGAGGTTTGTGCTAAGCATAATTTTTTTAGGTAGTTTTGCTAGGGTGGGGTATAGTTAGTGTGTGGAAGAATTCCCATTTATTTTTGGTTTCAGTTTCAAAATATTTGTTCCTTTTTGCCTTTCTGGGAGAATGGCACAACCATCTTAGAAAACTAAGGTTTTAAAGTAACTCAGTAATAGTTTTAAAAAATGTAATAATGTTATACTTGAAATTCAAAATTTTATGATTGTGATATTTTTGGCCGCTTGGGTTTTTGTTGATATTTTGCCTCTAATCTATCTGTGAGCAGCAAATGGTGCTTTCCTGGTTTAACTAATCCATTACTTAAGCAAGTTGAAACCTGCATTCAGGAATATAATTAACACTTTATAAGAGCACATATATATATAAACAGTGGCATCTGGCATGATGTTTAGAGCACTCGACCTGGAGTTGGGAAGATGAGTTCAAATCCAGCCTCAGACACTTAGCTGTGTGACCTTGGGCAAGTCACTTAATCTCTGTCTGCCTCAGTTTCCTCATTTGTAAAATGGGGGTAATAATAGCACCCACCTCACAGGGTTGTAAGGAAGATAAGATGAAATAATATTTATAAAGTGCTTGGCAAACCTTAGGCACAATATAAATGCTATTATTATTATTACTACACATTTATGTATATGAATATATACATGCATGTGTGTGTGTGTGTGTGTGTGTGTGTGATACGCATTTTTTTCTGATGAACCTTTTTGTAAAAGAATGAAATGGACCACAGGGGCTGAGAAGTCTGAATGATTGTTAAGAATTATGTTGACTAGTAAACTGGTTATGTTTATTTTTTAATGGAGGTAGTGTAATGATTTGGAGTCTTTATTGGTGATCACTTATCTGTTGACCTTGTCTCTATTGTACCAAATTCCTCAAAGATAGGCAGACTTAAGATTGGGTAAGACTCCCTCTTCCCATCTAAATGGTTGTCTAATTATTGCAGTTTAGGAGGGTAGGGTAGACCTTAGGAAAGACTTATGTTTTTTCCGTACATGTGATCAGACTGTTATATTTTCTATATGCAGAGTATCCCCAAAGTCTTAGTGCAGTTTTAAGCTGTTAAGCTTTTTTTTTTTTTTTTGGAGCTATTAAGACTTAAAACTGCATTGAGACTTTGGGGACACCCTGCTTATGTAATCATCATTTTAACAAAATTACTGGTATCCTGCCTATGTAATGTTTGATCATTTTGTTTTCCCAACTTAGCATCAAAATTACTCTTTAAATAATAGTCTTCTCTAGAAAAGCATACTATAAATATAAAGTAGTGATATCCTGTGAAATCAGCAAACTGTTGGTTGTTACCTTCATACTTATTTGCAAAATTTAACTACATTATTTTTCTTTCTTTCTTTCTTTCTTTTTTTTTTTTGAATTGGGAAAATAAAAATCTTCTAATGGTGAAGAAAAACAGTGGCAGCAATAAAACTTGATACTATTTCCTTTCATAGATAACTCTTTCATTTAAATTCTGTTTAAGGCATTTGGTGGTAATCACAATTAAATATTCAAAATCTACTAACTACTTTTCTACATCAATTATTTAAGTCAGTGTATGTAAGTAGAGTTGGGAAAAAAAAAGTCCCAAATTTAGTGACTATACATAAAATAACTTCTGTATTACTTCTAATAATATTCCTAAACAAAAATTGAAAGATTATGATGAAAGAACCCTACTTCTTGAGATTTTCAAATAGTTCTTTAAATTCTTCTGTGTTATACTTGGTTAAACATATAAGCTTTAGTGATTCATTATATGCTTATTCTTAATGACTTTTTTGTATCTTTACTTTGATTATTGGACCCATCAATATTAGCTTTCTATAGCAATGTATTATAGAAACACTGTTTTACTAATAGAAACCACCTAATTTTTTCTATCCAATTTTACAAGAAAAGTATTAATGAATAAAATTATGTGTGTGTGTGTGTGTGTGTGTGTGTGTGTGTGTTGTGTGTACACATTCTTTACCAGTGGTGAAATAATAATGAGGTAAGAGAAAAGGCATAAAATAAAACCTCAAACAGACACCCCCAGCTAATGTTAGTGAGCTGTATTTTTCTGGCATTCCAAACATTTAGAAGAGACATTAATGATAAAGCAAAGTTTCTTCACCGCCAGATATTTAAGTTTTCAATTTTCTTAAAGAAAGCAGAAAACTATGAATTGTACTTTTAAATTGCTACTTGTTTTTTGGGTTTTGTGGTTTGTTTTTTTTTTTAAAGTACAGACAAGCCCTGACTTACAATACCCTTCACATGTTGTAGCCAGGGACACCTTGCTACCTTTTCCTTAACAGTCATTATTACCATTATGAGTCCTGGCCCCTTTTAAGAAATGGCTTCCAACCATTGCTACCTAGGGGTAGCCTATCTCTACTTACATCCTTACTCCCCACTCCTGACTGCTCTCACTAGGGATTTCCTTCTCTTTTTCCTTGTTTTTCTCCCCTCTCCACTACCACTGTTGCTAGAAACTTCCCTGGAAGTTTCCTACTCTCTCCTCCATATCCTACTACCACTGCCTGTGGGGACCCTATAGTATCTTCTAGAACTACTGATTTCCATTCCAACTTCTTTGCCTTTGAAACTGTTTCCTACTCTAGCTGTCATCCTGTCCAGCAGCATAGCTACTAGGGATCCTTGTACTTTCTTCTTCCTTTCCATACTTCTCACTCTTCTTTTCCCTTTCTCATGTCAGGGGAGCTACCAAGGTCCAGTTCCTACTTTTAGAACTGGTGTAAGGAAGAAAGGGCAAATTGTATTCTTATTTCCAGAGCTAAGTCAGGAGGGATGTTCTTGGTGTCCTGAGTTACAGTTTTCCCAGAGACACAGTGTTAAAAGAAGATACTGGTTTTTATAGTGTTATTAATATTATAGTTCAACTAAATTATGACTGAATAGGCTTTGGTGGGTTACTCTAGAAACCCAACCTATATTTATAATATTCTTTCCATGGGAATTAATTCCAAACAACTTTCTTACAAGTGTATTTTGTTTTTGATTTAGTGGAAAGAATGTTCAATTTGGAATCATAGGGCTTAGGCTCAGATCCCAGATCCGATGTTTACTTTTCCTGTGTAACCTTGGACAAATCACTTAATTTCTCTGGGTCTCAGTTTTCTCACCTGTAAAGTGAAGGTGTTGGACTGAATGACCTCTAAAGTCCCTTCCTTTAAATCTTTGATCCTATGATTCCTGGGCTTGATGCATGTTAAAGCTGAATCTCTTGAATCTTTTACCCCTTCTATTATAAAATTATCATTGACATTCAGAATGATAATCCTAAGACACTTTTAAGATTTTCAGCCATCAAGAAACAGTGATATCATTGCTCTTAGAAAAGCAGGAAAAAAAGACCAACACATTTTTAAAAGGTTTTTTACACAGTAAAAACTAAAATGGATTGGGGGGCTAGATTTCAATTTACAGAGTGAATGTTTCTTGAGCAAAAGTAACAGCTCACATTTATATAACATTTTGGTGAAATTCACCTCCTGTTTGTGTGTCCTTTGGTAATTTTTTTCTTTAAGAATCTGTTGTTAGTGATTCTCAGTTTTATCAGAGATTTTTGTGCTATCTTAATATATGCATGGGAGACACCTTGTTAAAGGGGAAAGCCTTTCAAGTGATGTCTATACACACATATCTACTAGAGCAAATGCTTTTCTGTTATTTGTAAACACAATGTGGGATCTTGTTGTCTCTCCAGCTTTGAATCAATTGTGTAAGTGAAAATGTGTTCTAATATTTGTTAAATTCCACGTGTTTACCTCTCATTTTCATCAAGGATATGCTTAACACACCTCAGATGATTCTAGGCCCATACCTGAAGTCTTTCCAATTTGGTAGGACCTGGGAGTACTAATGTCCACTCATATAATCTTAAAGAAACAATAATCACTTCCTCACTGAAGTGACCCACTGAAGTATTTTAGTAGTAGTTTTCTCACAGCAAGTTTTAAAGTGTGTGTGTATATATATATATATATATATGTAAATTATTATTATATTCTATGAATTTTTTTCTTTTAAGAAGTGAGGAAATAAAATTCTGATTTCATTGGGACTGCCAGTGTAAGTATAGAAATTCATTCCACTAATGCAGATCACAAACTTGTCTGTGATTTAGTCTTAGAGAATTATCTGCCAACTGAACTCAACTTTAGATTTAAAAATCACAGAATCTTAACGTTGGATGGGACTTTGAAATTACAAAACTAGTAAATAGGTTCAAACCTAGTTCTCTGCTGACTTCAAATCCAGCATTTTCTACAACATTCTATTGAATTCCTCAAACCTAACACCTAAATAAATGGAGAAAGGTAGAAATTGATCTAGTCAAATAGAATCTTTTTTTAAAGTAGAAAACTCAGGTCTAGTGAAGTCAAGAGATTTTGGAAGTAGGTCCAGAATCCAGATTTCCAGGTAACTACTTTAGTACTCTTAACATTCCCAAGTATTGCTTTGCTAAGAACATGAGATAGTCACTGAAGCTGTTTATATTTTTCACTCTACGGTAGTAAATTTGGCTTACGTGTTTCATTGTTAGAATCTCTTATTGTCTTAAACTATATTAGGAGATATAAAAAGAAATGGAATTCTTCTAATGAAGAAATTGTGTGTGTGTGTGTGTGTGTGTTGGGGGGAGGGTCCTTGAAATGGGGAGTGAGGTGGGAGTTGTACTGGTTTAAGGCCAGTTCTAATCTAAGGCTCAGGATGAAGCCTGCAGAGAGGGAAGAGATTCATTTAAAATAGAGAAAGTAGTCATCTATAACTTTGAACAATATTAATAAATATTTGACTTTTTGTTTTAATCTTAGCACTCAAAAAATTCATGAGTTATATGATTTCTTTAAAGTATACAGAGATAATAATTCTCTGCTACAACATATACCAAGTAGGTTTTCCTTTATATTTTAGATAAGTTATTAGTTGCCAATTAGGCAGGTAGTACCTTCCATTGGTATAGAAAATTTTGTTTCAGTCTGAGGGTAAAAAGATATAATGTGGCATAGTAGATAGGAAGCTAGCCTTAGAGCCTGGGTCCAAATCTTGCTTCTGACATAACTAGTAAAATGATGGATAAGTCATTTGACATAAGTGCCCAGGTAACTCGACTATAAGTTACAGATAGGAAGGGCAGGAAAGTTTCCACGCAATGAATTTCCTACACAGTTGACATTATAAATCCAGAACTATTCCTCCTCTCCAAAACTTAGGGCAAAGTAAGTAGAAGCCAAAACACAAAAATTAGTTGCATAAATGCTTTTGTTTTTCTGGTTTGGTGACTTCTGTGTATTGATCCACATGTAATAAGCAGCAAATATCCCACATATTCTAAGGTAGTCCTCCCAATTTCCCCCATGTGAAAAGTTTCTTCTTAATTCAGTCACCAAGTAATTGTTGGAAATAAATGTAAAAAATTGAGTGACACTAACAAATATGTGTAAAACCAAGAAAAATGT